CATCGATTCCTTCTGTTCAATCATCCATATCTTGTACCAAATATATAACGGGGAGCTTGGTCTTTTTGAAGGTTTTAACATTTCTAATTAAGGGCAGAATCAATACGAGAACAGCCAGGTTCATAATTACAATTAACGGCATTTTCAGGATACAGAAAAGGGCATAGTTGCAGGGTAGAGTTGGACCAGTAAAATCCACACCTGACAGTCTGTGAGAATGTCAAATCAATGTTTAATAAAGTCATTTATATATAATTAGCCCGCACTGTATGGGTTCACACCGGTTTCTTCACAGCCTCGATGTATTTCATTTCATTAAAGTCATTGTAAAGATAAATCAGAAGTTGGTCTCCAAACAAACTCTATATGTGAAAAGACCGAAGACTAGGTGTGACTGAACTAACCCAGAATTTCCTCCAGATACATGTGAATGCGTGTCCGCTCCGGTCTGTTAAGGCGCCGTGCACACTCGTCCGTCAACACCCACAAGCTGCAGGAAAAAATAGACTTCTTTACACCAGAGTGACATCACATTTCTTGTAATGTCAGAGTGATATTACAAGGAATGTAAGAACTTTGGCAAACACTACACAAATATCTGTTTCTGAGAACAGCTTCTTTTTTTCAGCGTACATCTTCAGTCCTTATGCTAAGCTATGCTAAATGGCTGTTTTTTTAGCTTGATTTATGACAATACTGTTAAAAAAAAATGAGCTTCCTTCGTTTCCACAAATGACAAAAAAGCACATGTTGGTTTTGAGCCTTCTATAGCCACTGGGAGAAATTGCTTACTTTTCAGCCTTCCAGTTTAGCCAGCAGTTAGCAACAAAGCACCTTCGACTGAGGGCCCTGTTTACAGGTTTACCTTTTTTAGTTTTAGTTTTAGTTTTTTTAAGACAACAGCCTGAAAACAAAAAGTTTTGAAGACGGGTTCCAGAGTGCAAAGATTTGAAAACGGCCCTATCTCAGTCATGAGACTACAACAACCATGGCTCATCTTTTACGACACGCTGCAGACACAGTGTGCGCCCTTTGTGCTTCATATACTGAGGGGTCTTGTGCACTAGAGGTAGAGCCGGCTCCCTCAGGCCCCTGACTTAAAACCTTCAGGGGCCTCATTAGAGCTCAGAAGTGGACTCTCCATTTGATGTGTGTTGGGAGTGGAAGTATCTTGGAGAGGAGAGTAAGTGAGAGTCAAACAGACAGAGTGGAGTGTTGCTTCACTGAGACTTTCCATTAATGTCTGTTCCTGTTTCAACTTGTCTTCATAAGAAAACCAAGGTCAGCAAATTGCAGAGTTCAACAGTGGACCTTCCTTTTATACCACCCTCTTATTTCTTCTTGAAAGCTTTTACTCCAAGCCCGTCATGTTTGCTGTGTAACTGGTTCCGACTTGATTTCCCAGAGCCAGAAATACTGAAGATGGCAGGAAAGGACGCTTGTGCTTTTTCTGATAAGAGACTCAATAGTCCAACAACTTGAAACATATCACATATCCTGATCTGATAGTCTGCAGATAAAGCTCTGCAGAGAATGCTCTGGGTGTGTGTGTAATGGTTTTCCCAGGACAGTAAATTAGGTCGAGGAGCACTTCATTAAAAGCAAGTAATTATCTCATCACTGGTTGATTATGGCTCATCTTATTTGTTGATTTGCAGTCATAGGGTTCATTAACATCTCATTATCTGTCTTATGGCAGGTCCTTAAAAGCAAAAAAAACAACTGAATATTCTAAAGTAAGTGGTCTGCTTATAAAGGATGGTGGGAAAAAGGAAACTAGGAATTGGAAAGGATAACTTAAGTTACATAAACAGATCTATATTTGTCATGTTGCTGGGCAGACCTCTGCATCTTATCACTTTATCAGAAGGTACCTTCTCATAATGTTATAAGTTCTTTCTTGCAGTAACATATGTTATTCGTTTATCGTATAAAAACAAAGTTTGGTGAGCACAATCTATCAGCTTCACTGATTCCATAAAGAAGCAACTTAAGCCACTGAGCAAAGATACACAAAAGGGGGATTGCTCATTGCATTGCTGTGAACAATCACACATTAGCTATAGCTTTACAGAAATAAAGTAAACAGTTCATTTTATATCAGAATCAGAATCAGAATCAGAAATACTTTATTAATCCCACGGGGAAATTCAGTGTTACCATTGCTCTTCACACAATACAGCCGTAGGAAATAAAATAGAATAGAGATAATAAAATAAGCAATAAGTACCAAAACCATTACATTACATGTACATTGTATTATAACCATGTAGACCTCATCAGTCCTGTGTCTGTTGACCTGTGCCTGCTACAGTAATAATCCATTGATTAGTTTACAATAACAACCTTTTTCCTTTCTAATTTAAAATCAAATCAGATAGAGGTAGACTTAATCTTTTTCTTTTTTTTACATGTGGCTGTCACAATAACAGGAGCGAGAGTGCCTCTAATTAATCTTAGTCCGCATCATCTCTTAAAAAAACATTAATGTTGTTAATGTGTTCGTCCTGATTGGGGTAGTTTGTAAATCGCTGGCAAACCCAAACTAACAATATAGTTAGCTAATAACATAACAATAACTGTGTATCACACCCTCTTCTGACTGAGTAATCTAAAGCTTTACAAACCTGCTGTGGCTATAACTATTATGCCTGGCATTTATATAATCCTCTTATGTTTGGCTTTAAGGACTTGCAATGAATGAAATGGAAGGGAAGTATTTTGCTTTAAGTTAAACACCTAGATTTCTCTTTTTGTGGATTACATCTTTTCATGCAGAGAATATTTCATCAGTCAGGCCGATATGATGAATCATTCAATCAGAATATTTCCTGTTCAGCTCCCAGCTCTGCAAAAATACACAGTCACCTTCTCTATCCCCTCTTTCCTCACATCACGTCACTGATCGTCTTCATGTGTAGCCTCAAATCCCTTCAGAGAATTGCCGAACATTACAGTCTATCTTTTTAATGCGCTGTTAGGAAACATTGTGCCCTTTGGCAAAGAAAGGAGAAAGCGGGAAAGGACTGCCATTGATTGGACTACAAACAGTTGTTGTCTGTGCTATCTCTGTCGCATGTTCAATAACAATGGGATGTTTCAGATGTGAGCCCAAGGTCATCCGGATGGCTCTTTGTGGAGTTCAAAGTCTGTCTCATGTTACTTTGATTTGGTGTGAGGTTACAAATCAAGATCTATATGACCTAGATTGGCTGTTTTCCTAATCTTATCAGAGCTGTTGGATATATTTAAAAGCATGTTCATGTTGAGTATCCTCTCATTGGTAAAAAAGAAAATCTGAGAAAAAAACTCTGTGGATTGAGAAACACCAGCTGCTGGTCGCCACAAGAGCAGCGCCCATTGCTATGAAAAAGTTGATCAAACATGCAAAGTTAAGCAACATTGTTCTCCAACAACAACTAAAGAACACAATAGTTATCTTGTCAATGTGTCGGGTGACCAGGTGCCCCCCTTTAAGAAGGACTGCACAGCATTTTTATCACCTGTCCTGCGTCCTGCAAATTGAGAAGATTTAGAAGATTTCTAAAACCCGGCTTATATCCAATGGCTGTGTAGAAAGCAAAAGTGGGCTACAAGCATGGCTTTTGTCGGATGTCAATCAATCAGCTCACATGTTAGGTAGTAGAAATCATTTATTTTGGTCAACATACAAAGTTCTCCACTAGGAAATGCGCAGAAGTGCTAGAACAAAAATACAAAATCCACAAAGAATTCATGAAAAGACAAAAAAAACAAAAAAAACATTTTGACCGAAAAGGTGTAGGCTGAAGCTTTAGCTTATTATACCCACCCTTGTTACAAATATTATAATTTAAGACACTACTAGTTTGGTTACAAAAAAACAGAATATATCAGAACAAAATTTGTTCCAAGAATTTCACTCAAAACAAAACAAATGAAACCAAAAAAAAAACAAAACAGAAGTCAAAAAATAATCAAACCGACCTTTTATATTTGTTTAACACCATTTTTTTAAACAAAATTTTTAATCTGGAACGTGGACTACACATTCTTAATTCCATGTCATAAGTATTCCACAAACCCCTTTCACCGAAATACACCTGTTCTTTATGTTTGTCCTTACCTTTGGTTTTTTATACACACCTATTCCCCTTCGTTCATACCGGCTCTCTCTAGTTTCAAAAAACCTCTGAATACTGTTGGGAAGCAAATCATTGTACGCTTTGAACATTATCTGAGCAGTTTTTAGATCTACTAGATCGCTGAATTTTAAAGCGTGCATGTTAATAAATAGTGCGTTAGTTGGTTCGTAGGTCAAGGGCTCGTCAATCTGAATTATTCCCACAACATTGGAAGTGATCAGAAAGAACAGTCTCATTTCCTTTTTGTAGGTTATATAGAGGCTTCACTGTTAATTTGAGTCAGTTTCATTACCAGCTAAAAACTTCTTACAGGAGCTTTAATAGAGGTTATTTTACTGTTGCTGCTCTTTAACTATTGTAGCCCTGTATTTCTATGTGTCTGCAGAAATCTAAATGTGTGAATGTGATCGTTTACAGCACAAGAAGCTTGGATGAGCTTGTGGCTATAGCAGCTTGAAGTGAGTTAACAACACCCATTGTGTTCTCCAATGTTAGAAACATTCTGAAGAGACAGAGCTCTCTGTACGTGTGAACACACAGGAAACATCCTTCACAGTGAACTGAATAAAAAACCCTGCAGCTTTCAGATCAATAACCTTGTACATGTCAGCGTCCATCAGCTCCCGACTCACGGTGAATAACGTCACACACCTGCAGCGCTAGAACTCCTGCTGAAGGCAAAGGATTCTGTCACACCGATCCCACTGAGTCGTTCCACCATGTATGTGTGTGTGTTCACAAATAATACATCTCTCCACTTCCATCTTATGGGGGGGAGGGTAGAGGGAAGTATTTTACTTAAAGTGGTTGTGTTGTCCCTGGTGATTTAAAACTCTCCTGTGGCTTAAAAAAAAAATACTAATGCACTTCTGGGAGTGTGTTGTCACAGTTTTTATTCTTTATTTTTTATCATCCCAAGTGTAAGTGGAAACCTTGGGGATATTTTTCTGATAGAAAGAGTGTCAGTTAATCTTATTTACATGCCTCCCTTGAGGAAAAAAAAACCTGCTCCCCTTAAAATGCAGATGTACAAACTTTTTTGGCGTCTATACGAGTAATATCACAAGTTAGTTTTAAATGAAGGGCAAAACTTCACTGTAATCATATTAAGTTGAATATAACCAAAGGCACATTTCAGATTAATTACAGTTTAATAAAGCCTACATGTACTGATCATATAGACCTTGCCAATGGCTATAATTTCATTTCTGCATGCACACAGCCAAACTAATCATGGTTTCCTCTTTCATCCAATATGTCCTGGAGGTTAGATATCAGGACTTTCTCAAACCCGCTGCGTTAATCTGTGTTTTGTTGAGTGCTTTGTGTATAATACATTAGTATTAATGGATTCAGCTCCTGGGAGGAGCACTTGACCTGCAATTTTGAAAAGGAAGCATCTCTGAGTCGAGGAAATTTGTGATTCTCGCTCATGACGGGTGATCCTGGACACAAATTGCTTCGTAAACAAATTTCTCCCTCTGAATAACCGTAAAATGTTTCATATAAAAACACAGCTGAAGAGATATTTGGGGAAGGGTAGACCAAAGAAGGCACAGATCTTGAAGCGGAGGTTGTGTTTGGCAAAAGACAAAGACAGAGTTGTTATCCGTCTGCAGCTCCACAACGATGCACTTTTTCTCATATATGGTCCAGCTTTTATCTCTGGGCTTCATGGGATTTTTCCCCATTCTTTGAAATGTCGTCAGATATTCATTAAACATTATTTCATCACCTTCCAGATTGAATCATTCTCTCTTTGCATACGTCTCCAAATCATTCTCGTCCATTATCAGTTTATTGACCTAGGAAGGACATGTGAATAATAAACTAAACACTCTGTATATACACTACTTTGTATGACATCTGTTGGAGATCATCTGGAGGTAAAGAAAGCTTCCTCTCGGGTATCATCCATCCCTCAGAGAGTCTGCAGGTGAAGGCCGGATGACCGAGAGGGCTGAGGTGAACGAGGTCTGCATGAGATAAAAGCAGAAGTCTGTTTCAAACACTAGATGTGTCTGATGTGTGCACTCAGGAAACCAAGTTCTGAAAAGCAGAAGAGAGTGAAAACAAAGGATACATTATCAGAACATAAATACTGAAAATCTATTTTATCAATGCTTTATAGTACCATGTTTGAAAACAGTAGATCTCCCTGTCATCCTTTTGCAAGCTGTCACTCTATTGCAGGTGTCTCTGCTGCAGCCCTTTCATGAAAAGCCAAGTCAAATGGACAGCATGAAGTGCCTCAGTGTTCTTTTAAAACATTTGATTTGGTTCTTGTCTGCTGCTGTCTCAGTGTGGAGACAGGAGGGGGTGGGGGGAGCTTGAGCCTTTGAGGTTAAGAGTAATTTCAGAGTTTGCAACAAATATTAAAAACCACAATGTGCTGTGTTGGGCAAGAACTGGTTTGACAAAAACATACAATCCTTAATATGGTTGTAGTGCTGTAGACATAAAAACTCGCACACTTCTTGATTCATGTTTGACTCACACACCCTCCATCACGTTTCACTTGCTTCGTTTCGTCGAATCAGCAAGCTTAAAATCCAATGACTGTCATCAAGATTCCCTCTTGACGGCTCGGCCCTGGCATCAAAGTATGAAGCTCATGAATAAAGAAAGGTGTAATTGTTCAAAAATGGCACTATCTAAAATGTAATGCTGATCATTTCTTAACGTACTGTATGTCTTTGAGTGACAGTTTAACCAATCCAATTTGCACACAGCTCTGTAATGGCATGCAAAGAAAAAAAAATATGGCTTATTTTGCAACATGGTGGAAGAAGCTGTCAGGCCAAATGGTAGGATGATTGATGAGGACTAACGTGGCTGCGGTCAGCCATTAACATCCATTTTGCCTCAGCTGTAGATGAAGACACGAGGCTGCAGAGGTTCAATTTCTTATTAAAGCAGCTGGGAGCTAAGAAACTTTCATGACTATCTAACATTTCCAGATTTTACCTCTTTCTCATAACTTTTAATAGGCTTTAAGCTTTACCGCAGGCTGCAGCAAGCCGGAGAACCTTTAACTGATTTTAAGAGCAGGAAGACATGCTTAGAGGTTCTAAGAATGGGTTTGATCTTGCATCAATAATATCAAATTCAGAGAGACGCTTCTTTTGAAAGAAAGCCGGCATAAACAGATGAATCTATAGGAGCAACAGTATATATCACATCTATTATTCATGCTTTTTTCCATAGGTCTCAGACCAAAGGCCGGACCATGCATATTTTATCATCCGTTTCCTGATCTCCACACACCTAAGCATGGTCAAATTCCTCTCTCATCAATGTGTTGTTTTGCACAACATGACACTTTATCCTTGAGCATGTGTACTGGAAAATAACGGCAACCCCAGAAGAAGCCCGTCTCCTGAAGAGAAGTCCACTTCTACTCCACTTTAAGTGGAAGCCCATTGGGGGAAGAGCTTCTTCCTGAAATCTATAAATCCATCCTCAGAGAGTTGATGTAGGTTTAATAGCTTGTGTTGGGTTGTACAGCAAGGTCATTGTGAAGAGATTTTTCCTCATCCGTGGCTCAGCAAAGTCCCAAAAGGAAACAATATAGAGTCAGGTCAGCCTTTTTCTACAACAGCTATAAAATGTCCCACTACATTAAGAGACAGAATATAACTGAAAGCCTAGACTATGACCATAAACATATGGGGTGATTACACATAGAAATGAAAACCTAATTCCAACGACTGCTTTTCATACTGGAGCTGAGATCAAAAGCATTTTTTTCTGCAGTTGATAACTTACATTTGGTAAAACCGCACAGTCCACATAACTGTCACACAAATCTGGACTCCTCACTTAGTTTTTTGTCTCCTTTAGACTGTCAGCTGAAAACATTGGACCGAGTGGTCTAATTAACATCTCGCTGTGAATTGGGGCTTCCAATCAACACTTTCTTTTTTATTCTGCAAGAGTCCTGCAGATATAAAATGAAACACTTAGGCGTCTTGTTGATTTTGCTGACAGACAATGTCCATGTTATTCAATAATTACTAATTGACTGTAGCAGAATGTGTGTCACATGGGCTCTCGTATGGTTTTTGAATTGGGGGGTTTCAATCTTTTTAGTTGCTACTAGGCTTTGGCTGCATTTTATAATAATACAAAAACAGTGAACAGTGAATGTTAGAGTGGCAACCGCTATCTGATTCCAACATATGATGGTGTTTTTAATCTATCTTTCTAATTGTATTTCTCCTGCATAATCCAATTCCAAAGTGGGCTAATTGAATAAATTAATTTTTACGAGATTATAGCTGCCTTCCCAAGTGTTCTTAATTCCTCGATACTTTATTCTCAGTGTACTGTTTGCAAATGTGCCTTGTGCCATCACTCCATTCTTATTAATGCCTATTAAGATGGCAATCACAGGCCTGTGAAAAAACAGCGCCAGCCTCCCAAGCCCCTCAGCAGAGTCTGCCGGTAAACAGCAGATCACAGTTAGAAGCAATATTTAACCAATCAAAGCAGTTTCACTTACACTGAATGATAAACGGGTCAAAATGTTGAAATACATTTACATAATACCTCCCTTAAAATTAATTGACAAGGTCCTTTGAATGGCAGCGTTTAATGTGTAATTCATGAGGAAAGTGGTCAATAAAACGCTGGAAGCTTTGAAAGTGATGTCGCTGGAGGACAAAATTACAACTAAAAGTATCGTTTGAAACAAAGGTTACTTTTATAGTGATAGTGGCACAAAAAAAAGAGTTGCTACTGAACTTTTCAGGGTTGATTTCTGTGGTATTTTCTCCTTAATAAATTAAGCAAAATGAAAAATGTACTAAAATGACTTCATCTGGAACCAGTGTGGCTGCAAGAACTCTTGGACCCATGAAAATAAATCTCACCGGGCCCCACCAGCAGCAACACTGAAGCTGTCTGAATGTCAGGAAATACAAAGAAAGTAATTGGTATGAGCGCACTGTGAAGAAAATCTTCTCATTATTTAATATGAACAAATATTAACCAATGATCCAATGTTTCTTTCAGGCATGGATCCTCAGAATCATCCTTACTTTTCTCCACTTTACGGCGCCCCTGTCTGTAATCACTAATCTGGTGTTCTTATAAACATTGAACTCTGTTACGTAGTCTGGTACAAGAAAATGCAACAGAAATGGAGGTTAAAAATCATAATCGTGCAGGTTCATTTATTTAAAATAAAATCCAAATGAGCTTGTTTGGACTGCAGAGTACTTTCATGTGACCTCTCTCCACCTAATTATCTACTCCAAATAACTACTTCTGCATGATTTTTTTTTTTTTTTTTTAATGGCAATCACACACTTTCAAATGCTCATCTGGCAGCAGCTGAGCTCAACAGGAGGCTGATTAAAAGAAAATACAATCCCATAACTTTTGAGACTTGGAGAAACTAATAACAAATTCAAGGTTTAAGTGGTGCATTCACTGGGGCATTTATAGCAATGAACTGGTTGGAAGTTTTACATTTTCTTTTTCTTTCATTTTTCTTTACCCATTTATGTTGCGACAAAAACAACAACAGATTAGTAGAGAAATGTTTAAAACACCCCACCAGCTATATATCAAAAATAGACTGTGTACCATTATTTAAGAGCAAACGCTGATTTGCCACCAGTGTTTGAAGCTAGCAACTATAACTAATCTAATTTTTTGAAAGAAAAGGTGATAAATTGGAGCTCCTCATGTGTATAAAAAGCTTGCTTAATGATTTATCTGTTTAATCTTAATGTGAACTTCATTTTTAAAGATTTCATAGGAGGCGCTGTATCTGACTATTTCTTGGTTGGACCGATCGAGTTCGACCGATCGAGTTCCTAAAGTCAATGCTTGCCAAAAAACCTCCAAGTCATGACATCAATAGCTTATGCTAAGCTAAGCTAACTGTAGAAAGCTTAAATGTTAACCAAAGCAGACATCCTCCTTAAAAGTATTTGTTTTGTTTGCATCACTCACTATTAGGTGTTTATTTGTGTTAGCATAAGTTAGCATTAAAAAAACATGAATGAGTTGAAGCTAACTTACTGCTAAGAGTTTGATTCATTGAATCGTAAGTTACACGTTTAAGCAATTTGTATTTGTTTGTTTATTTGCTAAAACTTACCTTTGTTTGTTGCAGGACACCTGTTAGGGAAGGGGGGGGGGGGTTCTTCTCTTCTTCTCTGGGATTTCTTTGGTGGATTGCAAACAGCTTAAGGTGCATACTGCCAGCTACTAGGGAAGGTGGTGCTCAGCATTTCCTGTTTTATAAGGTGTTGATGATGTCATCACTGACATCATTGGGTCAAACCAAGTGGAGGGGTTTTCACATCCCTAGAGTGTGTCTTTTAGTTGTTTGACTCATTCTAGAGTACTTTTTTAAACTTATTTTTAACATTGTATAGTGCAATTTATTGAAGTTAACGGGTTGGTTAGGGAGTAAGAAAGATATTTTATATCTTTTTATAAATTATTACGTTGAAGTAAACCTCCTCAGACATGGTACTGGCAGCAGTTGTCTACTAGTTAATTGAACACCCTATAAAAGCAGTTGTGCTTTGCTACCTGAAGACTACACCAAACAGAAGAAGAAGGACGACGACGACGACGACGACGACGACGACGACGACGACGACGACGACGACGACGACGACGACGACGACGACGACGACGACGACGACGACGACGACGACGACGACGACGACGACGACGACGACCTGAAGACCTGAAGACCTGAAGACCTGAAGACTAGTTTATTTTGCATTCATTGCCATGGTGATAAATTGTGCTGTGGACATACAGAGAAATCAGAAAGGATTAAATTGGACTGGATCCTACCAGAGAGTTTCTGGATGCGACGGACATTACCAGAGAGGAACTTGACACCACACTGAGGAAATGACTTGAACAGACTCTGAAGAGTGTCAGAATGAGCAATGTTACGAGAAAGCAGAACTATCTATGGACTATTTAAATGCACACTTTCAAACTGTTAAAACCCAGTAGGTGTCAGTTATGAAACACATATGGACGCCAACCGCCATTAAACCCAACAGAAGAAGAAGTACCTCAGATCCAGCAGGGTTCTGTAATCAATGCATGAGAAGAACATGGAATAAGAATTTTCTAAAGGAGTGTGTTCTGAAATGAATGCATAAAGCTGGAAATGAGGGATTATGAAACCTGAAGGTGGCAGTAACAAAAACTATTTGGAAGTCAGCTGCCACAAAACCTCAAAGAAGAGAGAAAGGTGAGGCTGCCTTTTTTTTTTTTTTAAATAATCACATACTTTTAATGGGAATCGA